AATTTTTTGTGCTTGGGTTTCGATTATACAACGATCAAATACCCATCCCTCCACCAGTGCCCATTTTCCACCACCATGGATAATATCCCTCCCACCCCCATCCCCCCATCCCCCCCGCCTCTGTGGCAGGGCAATCCCTTGTGTTCTCTCTCTCCTTTTGGGTGTTGTGGTCTGCAAAAGAGGCATTGAGTGGCAAACATGTTCAGTCCATAGTCTACTTTCGACATGCATCTCCCCTCCTGGGAGGATCCTCCAAACACCCTTTATTTGGTGATCCCTTCTCTATCTGAGCTGCCCTTTCCCCTAGAATGCCCGGCTGGCCTCTAAGCTATGGAGTAATCCTCCTGGTGCTGATCTCAGCTATTGTTGGGTGTTAGTCTCCTATTTTGTTACTTTATGTTCCCCAGATGAATGCAATCTTTCTATGTCTATCCCTCTCTTTCTGACTCATTTCGCTTAGCATGATACTTTCCATGTTGTACCACTTGTATGTAAATTTCATGACTTCATCTTTTCTAACAGCTACGTAATACTCCATTGTGTAGATGTACCAAAGTTTCTTTAACCAGTCATCAGAAACAATTTAAATTAGATTAATACATAGCCATTTGCAGTATTATCCTACTGTGAGCAGGTCACTGCACACGCATATTCCTGCACATGTACTAGACTTCCAGGTCATGAGTGCTGGCCGTGCTTGCTTGCCAATGCTTGCTTGATAAGGCCTCATTGTCAACCTTGATCCTTTGTTTATTTGGAACATGAACACTATGACTTTATGTTATGTATTATAAAACATATATGAACAGTTTTTGAAAAATTTCTTTCCTTTGTGCTTTAACCTTCTTCCAACTGAATGCCCACCAATTGCACCTGAAGCTACTGTCACACCCTTGGATCATTCCAGTGCCCCCATCCCTCTCCTGCATTGTTCCACTGTCTATCAGGGGGAAGTATTACCCACCTTGGGAAGTCCACTCTAGGAATTTTGTGGTATATGGTGAATAACAGGTAAATTCTGGGACCCAGAAGCTTAATGTGCCTGACTTGCAAGTACACAATTGTGCATTGAGATCTATGGATTTCACGTGGGCCAAAGGTGATCCAGGAAGCTCTGTTGTCTGCGATTCCCAGCACTACATGCAATTTCCAGCCACACTGCAGCCATGCTTCACAGACATGGGTGCAGGGGCTGGGAATGGCTTACCTGCCTTGCATGCTTGGGACTTGGATTTCATCTCTGGCAGAAGGAAGTGTTGAAGAAGGAGGGAGGGAAGGAAGGAGGGAAGGAAGGAAGGAAGGAGGGAGAGAGATAAATATAGAAAAGAAAAGAAAGAGAAAAGAAAAGTTTGAGGCTAGAAAGATCACTCAGTAGGCTTGGCATGTTCTTTGCATGTATGGGCTGGAATCCAGTCTGCAGCACTTGTAGTACACACACTGAGCACTACTAGGTGTATCCCTCTCCTTCTCCCCACCCCCCCCCAGCAACAAACAGGTGTTGTAGAATGGGTTGTGTGACTCTAGCAAGCACCACACTGAAAAGTGCAAAGGCTAGGACTGGTGACTTCTGGTGAGTACTGGTGTGGAGCACTGAAGAGATCCCCCTTGAGCACCCCAGCTGAAACTTGTGTACCTCAGCAAAGAGCACACACTCAGGCAGGAGTGTGTTCAAGCACTGTCCCTGTGAGAGTGCAAACCTCGGTGAGCATTGTGGTCAAATGGGAGAGTATTGCATCCTCACGTGAGCACCACAGGTATGGAAATGTGTCAGAGGGCTGGAGAAAGATAGTGTATAGGAGTTTAGGTAAAGCTGGTCCAGATTTGATCCTCTGCACTGCGTATGATCCCCCAAGCTCTGCTGAGAATAATCCCTTGGCATAGTACCAGGAGTCAGCCCTGTCTATAGCCAGGTGGCCCCATAGTCCCCTGAAACAAAAGCAAAAATTTGTCAGAGCAGAAATACTCCTTGAAAGATCAGTATATATGCTTTGCATCTGGGAGTCCCTGAACTCTTTGTCCAGGACCCCCAGCAATACAGGGACTAGCCCCTGTATGTTGCTGAGTATGGCCCCGCATGAAGAAAAAGTGTCAGTATGACAGCCAGGTATATATGTGGTAACCCTCAGTCACTTTTAACATCAATAACAGCAATGTTAAGGGGACCTGAAAAAATAAATATGTGCAAGTTCTTTGAAATGTCTGATAACTTTTATTCATTTCTCATATCTAATTAAAAGCTGGCTTAGTACTCTGCAGCATTGGAAACAATTTTTCTTTAGAATATACATAGTATTTTTCTTCCTTTCTCTCCCCTTTCTTTCTCCTTTCCTCCTCTCTCTTCCTTCCCCCATCTGTCCTCCATTATTTCCTCCTTCTCTTTCTCTCTTTCTCCCTCTCCTTTCTGTCTCTGTCTCTGTCTCTGTCTCTCTCTTTATCTTTACATGTCTCTTGAACACAAGACTTTACACATACAAGACATACATTTTACCATTGATTCTCAAAGATGGTCAGAATACCCTTATATTTTGTGCCTGATTTTACCTCATTGTACACACATGCACACCTCACTCACGTCTCATTCATGTCCTTACTGTTTTGTCTGGGCTGTTGATTTTCAAGGCCATGCGGATGGGAGTATGACATTAGGGAAAATGAGTACCCCACACAACTTGTCTTCTGGGGCTGGGGAGATAGCTTTGCATGCAGGAGATCTCCATTCACCCTAGTGCCACATGGTCCCTGGTACTGTCAGGAGTGTTCCCTGAGCTCCATGCTGGAAGTAACCCCCTGAGCACAGTGAGATGTGTCCCCCAAACGAAAACCTTGCCATTCTACTGTGAATCAAGCTTTTTTTTCTTGGGTGGGGGGACAGGCTGAGGGGCCTCCCAGGCATTGCTGAGGGGCCCAGGAGACCTTCTTGGCAATTCTCAGTGCACTGGACTGGCAGTTTGGCATGAGAACCAGAGCATGCAGCGCTGCTCAGATGCTGCAGTGCTGGAACCTTTCAGGGCAGGCTGTACCCAGTGATGCTCCAGATCTTGGTCGGGGACCAAGGATCTTATGGGGTCTTCTGCATACAGACTGTGCAGTTTACACCCTGTACAGTTTCTCTGGCTGGAGCGATAGCACAGCAGTTAGGGCGTTTGCCCTGCACGGAGCCAACACGGGTTTGATTCCTCGGTCCCTCTCAGAGAGCCTGGCAAACTACCGAGAGTATCCTGCCCGCACGGCAGAGCCTGGCAAGCTGTTTTTGGCGTATTTGATATGCCAAAAGCAGTAACAACAAGTCTCACAATGGTGATGTTACTGGTGCCCGCTTGAGCAAATTGATGAACAACGGTGCAGTTTCTCTGGCTAGAGCGATCGCATAGTGGGTAGGGCGTTTGCTTTGTACACAGCCGACCGGGGTTAGATTCCACGGTCCCTCTCTGTGAACCCAGTAAGTTACCACTGAGAGTATCTTGCCCATACGGCAGAGCCTGGCAATCTTCCCTGGCAAGCTCCCCGGGGCGTATTCGATATGCCAAAAATAGTAACAGCAAGTCTCACTTCATGTTCCTGGAGCGAGCAGACACCATTGGGCTACACTAGCTCATGACAGGGACAAATGGAGACGTTATTGGTGCCCGCTTGATCACATCGATGAACAACAGGAGGACAGTGCTACAGTTTCTCTGACTCCCGCTGACTTTCTTGATTTAATGTTTCTTGAATTATTGCAAGCCATTGGTTAATTTCCAGTTATGCTAATTTAAATTTAGACTTTTTTGGGAGGCAAGCAGTGTTATTTGACTCTGTCATTCTGGAACTCCTTATGTTTTCTGAAGGTATTTGAGGTTTTCTTTTAAAAAATTTTTTGATTTGTGGGAGGTCTCTTTGGTGGGGGCTCAGCGGGGCTGGGAGTTCCGCGGTTGACTCTTATTATAACTGGGCTGGTTGTTCAATGCCTGGGCTGAGGATGTGATGCCTCTCCATCCTGTGGTGTTGGTCACCATTTGGTTCGCCTGAAGATGCTGCCAGTCTGCTCCGACGTCGGTGGTGCTCAGGGGACCATGTGGAATTGAAGCCCATGCGCCCTAACTGCTGTACTGTCTCTGTTTTTTTTTTTTGTGTGTGTTTCTCGCAGACTGTTTTCCTCCCTCTTGTTTGATTTAGAATTTATTTTATATGTTTAAGGATTAAAGAAATACATTGTGTTTTCTCAAGTTTAAGAGTGGAGAATTAGGAAACTCACTCAAAGTTCTGAGTGTTTGAGCTACTTCTTTCATCTATGACAGTATAAGTGACACATAATTATTAAATATATTGATATGTAAAAAGACAATGATAAAACAGTCATAATTATATATGCTATATAAGACATGTTAGTATATTAGATATAAATATATGAAGATATTTTTATAGATTTATATCTTCTCCCCCAACAAATTATTTTTCTTCCAATAGTACAACAAAGGTTTGCAAACTGAAGAAGAAATAAAACACAGCCATCTAGTGGAAGCAACTTTAAGAGCATACGCAGAGTAACACTATCTTATTGCACATAAAAAGTTCTCAAGAGTTATTATTGGGCATTATTAGCCTAGTTATTCTATATCAGTGGAACAATATGCTTTTATGTTATTATGTTATTGAAATTAACATTATTAACATTAATACTATTAACATTATGTTATTACTGTTATAATTTCAAAATTAATGGGAGGGAAGATAGTCTTATGAAGATAGTTTTATGCCCTCAGAATTCAATTGAATAGTGCAACATAGAACAATATAGTTAATATTTTCAATGAAAATATGTCTAAATAAAATTTTTTAGATTATGAAAATCAGTATTTTTTAGTATTGCTTTTAAAAACATATTTTGAAATATTTCTCAAAAATATTTAGATCTTGTAACTTTGTATGGTTGATGCACTTTTAATTACTTCTCTAGAATAAATTTTAGTAATCCTTGGCTTATAAACTTTTTGATGCAAAAATTAATTTTTTTTCCCTAGGAACAAGATAGTACTGTACAATGTATGCACAAAAAAGTAGAAAAATTAGAAGCAGAACACATGAACTGCTCTGAACTTTTACGGCGACAAACAAGTGAACTTGAATTAAGCACTCAGAGAGAGGAATGTCTGCGAAAAGAATTTGAGGTATATTTTTTAATTTTTATAGGATGTGTTTATATATATGCACATTTGTAGTTCTGATTAATAATTTAATATCAGAAATTTTGCTCTGCCAAAAATTATAAAGCTAATTTTGAGGAACATCATTTCTGTTGAATGTTTGGTTTCTTTGTGAAGTTTTGCATATCAGTAAATGTTTGCCCCTGATTTAAAAGATAGTTCATTTTTAGTTATTAATTTTAATTGAGCATTTAGAAAGGTTGAAGGTAATTATATGATAATGTTGAAAAAGCAAACACAGAATATTTTCTGTATAGTGAGTAAGGCACTTGCCTTTCATGCAGCTGACGTGTCTTAATTCCCCAGCATTCCATATGGTCCCCTGAGCACTGGTAGGAGTGATTCCTGAGTGCAGAGCCAGGAGTAATCCCCGAGCATTGCTAGGTGTGGTTCCCAAATAAAAACAAAACAAAGAAGTGTAAAGTAATGAAAACAATAATAAACTAAGAAGGAAATTTAGATTAACACTTTTCCTGCTACATATACGTAGAAGATAGTACTACACATGAAAGCAGAGGGAAAAATCAGACTAGTAGACTTACAAAATTAACTACAAAAAAATTGAAGTTATATACAGTAACACCCTCCTTGCAAGTAAAGTAAAAAAGTAATACTGAATGAGAAAACCGTTTATATCAAAGGGTAAATGTATCATCTATCTCTGAATCCCGCATTAAAATTTCTTAAGAAAAAGGAAAAAGTATTGACCAAAGGCATCAGACATGAAGGAAGTTTTGAAATAAAAATTTTTAGATAGACAGCGAACACAAATATTAATCCTCATTGAAATATCAGAGAAATTACAGTGTTTATAATACTAAGATGAAAGGAAATGATAGTATCCAGCTTTGATGAAGATGGTGTTAAAATTACCCACTTCGGGCTGGGGAGATAGCATAGGTCGTTAAAGTGCTTGTCTTGCCTGTGACCCTAGTTTGATCTCTGGCATCACATATCGCCTGGGCACCACCAGGAGTGACCCCTGAGAACAGAGCCAGGAGTGGCCCCGAATACTCCCCCAGCTGCTAAAATTCCCACACCTGGTGGTTGGGACCACATCTTGGAGTTTAAATTTATAAAACCTTGGGGCTGGAGGTAGTGCATTTGCCTTGTGCGCAGCCGACCCAGGTTCGATTCCCAGAATCCCATATGGTTCCCTGAGCACTGCCAGGGAATTCCTGACTGCAGAGCCAGGAGTAACCCCTGTGCATCACCAGGTGTGACCCACAAAAAGCAGAAAACAAAAAAAAAATTATAAAACCTTAGAGGAAGTCCACTAAGTAATTTTTTTTCTCTTTCTGGGGCTCCTAGGCCTTGGTGTGGTGACCTCACTCTTGACCTGTCCCCTTTCTGGGCAGGGATTGCAAGCTTTGGAACTGTCAGGCTAGTGTGGGCAGCACTCAGGTTCAGACTCATGATCTTGTACTTGCCAGGCAAGTTCTTTAACCGACGCTCAGTGAACTTTTATACTTCTGAGAAAATGATCGCATCCTTCCGGGACTCTCCTGCTCATCTCCTCATTCTCTCTAGGCCTGAGAGGCTGCTGTCTACCAAGGACTTCCTCATCCTCTATTGGATCCGGTCATTTTTGCTCTCCCTGCATGCCCCTTCCCCCCCCCCCCCCTCCCCCCAGTCTCTTTCAGTTACACCCTGCTGTGCTCAAGGCTTATTCCTGACTCTGTGCTCAGAGATCACTCCTGGCAGTGATTTATGCAGGGTGAAGTATTCATCAACTCTAAGAACAGATGAATGCAGTACGCTGCAACTTGAATGTAGCTGGAGCTAAGTGAAGCTTGTTAGAAGAACCAAAACCAGATGATCTCACTCACGTGGAGTTAAAAAAAATAAAGTAAGGGGATAGACAGTGTCCAATTAAATAAACCCTAAGTTTCTGCTTTCAGAACTGAATGTCAGGCAGGGTGTGAGGGCTGCTAAGAAGGGACCTGGGACGGTGGTGGGAGCGATATTGACATCCTGGTGATAGTTCTGTGCAGCATCTTTGTATGCCTAAAACATTGTTCTTTATACTATTGTAAATCATGATACCTCAGTGGAAAAGAAGGAAGGTAAGAAGTGATTAAGTTTTCTGTATTAAAGCAAGGGAACATGTATTGTCCAATGAAAATTGAAAATGAACCATTCAGACTGACACGGAACTGAAGTTAACAAATTGTGGGGAGTTGACTGAGTATACTTTGTTTTCCCTGTGGAACAATGGATTGAACCTAGCGCCTCATACATGTGAAGCATGCTCTGTACCCTAAAACTACATCTTTGGTCCAGAAAACACTCCTGGTGTGCTCTGGGGACCATATGGGATGCTGGCTATTGGACCCAGGTTGACTGCAAGGCAGACATCCTACTTACCGTACTATCATTCTGGCCCCTCACTTTCTGGGTTTGTTTTTAGTTACTTTTTTACAAATGGTCTAAAGATTTTATAGGAAGACAAGCATAGTCTTCTAAATTATTGACAGGTCTTTCAAATTAGATACTTTAAAAGTTTTGCTTTTATATTTAAGTGGATGTATTTTGTATTGGCTCTTTGGCCAAATGATAATATAGTGAATGTTACATTTCTAGAGAATGTTTTTTTTTTTTTTCTTTTTGGGTCACACCCAGCGATGCACAGGAGTTACTCCTGGCTCTGCACTCAGGAATTACTCCTGGCGGTGCTCAGGGAATCATATGGGATGCTGGGAGTTGAACCCAGGTAGGCCGCGTGCAAGGCAAATGCCCTACCCGCTGTGCTATTGCTCCAGCCCCTCTAGGGAATGTTTTATGCTAGTTTTATATTCAATTATTGAGTCATTATTTATAATCTAGGTATGTTAGTTGGTAATAGAATTTTGAAAAATTGATTAATAAGGTTTTAATCTAATAGCTAAATTATTTAAAGTTTATATTATCAGAATAAAGCAACCAATAGAGTAGATATTTAACCTGTTAATGTTTCAAATTTTAGTGAAGCTTTTTAACCATTGCATTTTGTGGAAAGGTGATTTCTTTATGTACCTGGTCCAAATAAGTTACACTCACGCTCACACACACACACACACACACACACACACACACACACAGATCACATATATATTTAATCTGATAAGCTATATATCACTGTGTGGCTTAATCATCTTAACATCGATTGAGGGTTTCTTAGATTAAAGAAAGAACCACCAACAACTCCCAATCCAATTTTTTAAATGTGGTTCAGGATACCACAGAACCATGGGAAAAATGAACTGTAAGGAAATATCCATGACTTTTATAAACCTCTTTACAACTAGGGGCATTTTCTTTTCTTTTCTTTCTTTTTTTTTTTTATCATGGGAAATAAACTTAACTCAATAAAAAAAAGAGAAAAGAGAAGATGCAAACCTAATTCTGAGAGAACTGAAGAATCTTGTGAAGATTGCAGTGGAGACAGAACGGTCTGCAAATAAATTCTGAATTGCTTCTGTCAGTCATAGTCTATATTACGGTAACATCGAAAGGGAAGGATGTAGCTCTTCTCTCTTTGTATACAACACTCAAGTGAAAAAGAAACCTCACCTTACGTTGTCCATGAAGGCTATCTTAAATGGGTTTGTTGGAATGATTATTAATATCATTTTGTAATTTTTGTTTGTTTTGGGGATACACCCTGCTGTGTGCTTACTCCTGGCTCAAGGATCACTCTTGGTGGGACTCGGGGTCATATGAGGTGCCCGGGATCAAACCCGGGTAGCTGCATGCAAGGCAAGTGCTTTACCCACTGTATTATCTCTCCAGCCCCTAGTTATTATTATTATTATTATTCATATTTTTGTGGTGCTGTATATTGAAACGAGGTCCTGTGTGTGCAAGGCTTGCAGTTTATCTCTGAGCTACATCCTTGACCCTAGGAATTATTTTCAAGTGTCCATTGTGTTTATTACTATAAAGTACTAATAAAAACAATGCAAATTAAGTTACCTGATCACACATTTAGCATAAAAGTATTATGCATTCTTTTTTTTATTTTACAGTTTTTAATCAAGTTGTATATAACTTTATTCCTGCATCTTCTCAAGAGTTTCTTCCTTATATTTGCTCTTCTCCTTTCCTACTTGGCGAGACTTGGCTTTGTGTTCAAGGATCTTTCTGCAATCTTCGTCCAGTTTTATTCTGGGCATTCTGGGGTGAATGCCCACATGGACAGTTGTGCCATTTGCCTTCTCCCGCTGGACTTGTTCAATGTAGATAACATATTTCTTTCTGTAAACCTGGATTACTTTGCCTGTTTGCTGACCTTTGTAGTGTCCTCTCACAACCTGAACCTCATTGTCCTTCCGGATGGGCATGGATCGCACATTGTACTTCTGTCTCAGCTCTTTGGAAAGAGGGGAAAACATAATCTTCCTACGAATGTGGGAAGGTGCATTGAAATGCCTCTTACGGTTCTTGCTCCAGTTCGAAGTCACCAAAGGATTAAACTTCATTTTGGCAGTTACCACTTTAGCAATGGCCGCATAAGGGAAAAAGCAGTATTATGCATTCTTAAACTTATGTTCATAATGGATTTTCAAAGTAGAAGTTTGTTACAAATTTTGTTAAATACTGAAGTTTTTGTTAACAGAAAAGATAGTTTTTAAAGAAGATAAGTTTTTACTATGCTGATTAGAATTTTTGGCCTATAAACTTTGTTTTTGAAAGTCCCTATTTATTTATGTATTTTTATATTTTAGTTTTTGGGCCATACCAGAATGCTCAGGTTTACTCCTGGCTGTACACCAGGAATCACTCCAGGTGGTGCTCAGGGGACCATTTGGAATGTTGGGGTAGAAACCTGGATCGATAACCTGCAAGGCGAGCGCTCTACCTGCTGTACTATCTCTCTGGCCCCTGAAAGTCCCCCCCCCCTTTTTTTTGCTTTTTGGGTCACACCTGGGGATGCACAGGGGTTACTCCTGGCTCTGCACTCAGGAGTTACTCCTGGCGGTGCT